AGTTCCCGCAAAAGTGTTTTTTCCTCCTGTAAAACCCACCCCAGGCTATTTCCTGAAAAAGTCTGTCATTGTGATGGATGGAAGCATGCAAGGAAGCAAGAAGTGTTTGGCAGAGGAGAAGTTATTAATGCAACTTAATATATCATTTAACAAAAGCAGCCATGATAAGTTTTTGATGCGTGGCAAGCACTTTAATCAGTCTGACTTTTGGTCATGAAGGTCACACAGAGTCTTTCAAGGTAAGGGCATATGCACAAGCTACTGCACAGTAAGTTAAGACTATGTACTTGCAGGTGTCACATAGAGCCAACAACCTACAGGCATGTTCTTACCCTGGTGTAAATGTCAGGTATGTTGAAACAGCTTTCTCTTCGGTGCAAGATAAGTTGGCCAATTTGTTCCTGCTTTGGGCTGCCAAAGGGTAAGAACTTAACCTCAGGTACTACAAAGCAGCTGCTCTACCATAAATTTACTTCGCATAGTAAACATTGTCACTGGCCCACACTTGCACTGCACAGCATCTATGAAATACTGTAAAGTGGATCCAAAAGAGCAAAAACCAGGTACTGTGGCATTTTCCAATTGCCATTAATTCAGGTTTCATATACACATGACTCCTTACACATCAGTTCAAATCTTCTTAAGTCAGTTACAGTCAAAGACTGCTAAAGAACAACAGCTCACTGAAGTTTCATATATGCTACACAGACAAAGCTAGGAAGATTGCTAGCTTTAGTAGGTATTTCTTCAGGTAATATGAGAATAAAGGAAGAACCTTGGCAGAAGACCTGCCTTTCATTAAGGACATGGATCAGGACAGAGCCAACAACATTTTTCTTTACTACTTAGTAATTCTGATGGTAAATGAAATTATTAAATAAATGCCACAGTGTTGTTCATTCTCCTGTAATCAGCAATCTTTGCCCATTCTCAGTATATTTCTTGCATTCTTAATTTTGAGTTTCTTTCACAATTCCCTGCAATGCTGCCTGAGTTTTGCAACGGCTACGCAAAGGTTTTATCTAGGTTGACAGCCATTTATAAACTGCTTTGATAAGCTGCCATCTCCCTTTCCCTCCTCCGAGCAGAAGCATCATCAAGGGTCCAAGTGAGACCCCACAAATGGAAATGAGGACTGGCATCTGGCAGAAGCGTGTAGCACTGGCAGGCCGAGTTACGACAAAGGTGACCAGGCAGTCCCATCCCTGGCCATGACAAACAGCCTCTTTCGCAGCTCAGCTGAGATTTCTCCATGGATCTGAATGATACGGGAAACTGATTTCCAAGGTGTTGCCACACTGAGATCATTTGTTGATAAAAGGCAAAACTGGATGAATGGTGAGCCAAGAGTGCTCTTTATAAACACCGACTGCAGTCTAACTACACAGGTCACGTTTCCCTTGAGCTGGTACTGAGCAGGAGTGAGTAAGGAGAAAACCAGGAACAGCAATATTGACTTCCACCCCATTACAGCCTAGTGGTGAAGCTCTGCCAGTGATTTACAAAGCGAAGGTTTCCAAGGGCATAGCAACAGCATGCTTCCTCCTTGAAATTATTTGTATTACTGTCCTACTTTACCTTAATTTAGCATGTAATTGATTTAAATGTAAAATGAGATTTTGTCTTTCCAGACATTTATTTCATAAAACTTGATTTACTAGAAAAATACATTATTTCTAATTTATGGCAACCCCTACTAAACCCTTTTTAATTACATGGGTATTTGTGTTCCATTTTTATCCTTCTGAGTTTGATGGCAGTATTATAATTATACCAAGTTCTTTCCCAACAAGAATGCTGTTTTCTTTCTCTTTTTCAGCTCACTACACCCTGAAGTTATCCTACAGAAGTCCCTTAATGAATGTGAGTGAAACAGTAAACACACATTCTCTGCGAGAACTTTTCCAGCAAACTGTCCTCTACAACACTCTTATTTCTGTCTGGAGATGCAGAGAGAAACAGATGGGGCTGTTTACAACCACCTCATGCACACACACTGCTGTCTTTATGCTTTTAGAGAATCTGCCCTGCGTATGTGCCAGAGGCACAATTAAAAATAAGAGATTAAGAAAAATATCTAATCTCCTTTCAAAGACTCCAAGCCATGCTGTCACGCTGTTGCTTAACTGTATCTCCTAGGTCACTTCACCTTTTTCCAGGCTAAACTTAAATTTAAGTTACACTTCAGACACTGCATCTTGTTCCACTTTTATCTATAGAAAAAAAAAATTCCTCTCTTCCACTCTTAATTTTACTCTACAGATGCAAAATCCTATATATAAAATAAATAACCCACTCCCCAATATTTCTTCTATAAATTGCAGGTATTAAATATGCTAAGCATCACAATATAATGACAGTTTTTCTAGACCTCTAATTATTTGGTTGAGTCACCATCCCTGGAGGTACTTAAAAGACATGTAGATGCAGTGCTTAGGGACGTGGTTTAGCGGTGGACTTGGCAGTGTTAGGTTTACAGTTGCACTCAATGATCTTAAAGGGTTTTTCCAACCTAAGTGATTCTATGATTTCAATAAATTTCTAAGCTGTGTTTAGGGGAAAGATCACTACTTAAAATGTATATTTTGCATAATCTTTCTAGTCACAATACTTGTTACAAGGTCAAAGCAGTTGTCTATGAAGAGCCCTGTATCTTCCTGAACCTGTTCCATATCATCTGTAGCTTACGCTGTTTTACATAGGAGTTAATTTCTCTTAACTTTATAAGCCTTAAACTTAGCTAATTCTGATATGCCTTCACTTATGTGTGAAGAATAGGCACCTCCAAAGGAGTCTCTGCTGCTAAGCCGAGGTACCTGTCTGAGCCTCTGGTGCACCTACAATAGCATTTGAGTTCAAAACAAAAGCGTGGTTCTAAAGCAAGTCTCACCACTCTCACTTCCCACAGCAGAGAGGTTCCAGTGTATGCAGACTGGATTCCTTCTGGATGAAACTCAAGTAGCAGATACACTCCAGAAGTGCACCAAAAGTACTTCAACTGATAATGGAAATTCAGCTCACAGGACAGAACTACAGCTAGTCCAAAGCAGAACTCTTAAAAAGGACATTGGATCCTCAGCACAAGCCATTTCACTCCTGCAATTATTATGCCACACCGCTTGTTACTGTAGACGCAGCTTATGGCCTTCCAAGGATTGCAAAGGGAGCTCTGGGAGACCAGCTGACACAACACACCTGATTTCAGATTTTGAAGTGGGATCAATCCCTCCCTGGTTCCCAGACGTCTTGCCCTCACTCGGCCATACCGAAATGCAGATTGTCATAATGGGACCATTTAACAAGCAGTTCACATCGTTATAAATCAGTAACTTGCTGTCCTTCTCACTTTGTTATCTGCCAATCTTTGTTGACTCCAAATACTTTATCAGCAAAGATTTTATTCTCTAGATTCCTGAGGAATTTACTGAACAGCATTAGACCTTGCTAGGAAAGACCTCACTCATTTCTCTCCATGTTCACGTCTCACACAACCAGTCTGTAGAACATTCATGTCTGTAATTTTAACTCCACTTGTGCAAACTTTTAAATCCAGAGGCCTTTGTTTTATCAAGGCAAAAAGGCTCTTAGGAAATTTGAGCCTCTGATGGCTTCATAAACCATCCATTCAATCTTGCCCTCCCAAGAGGCAGCAGGCATATTTGACAACACCTGTTTTTCATGAAACCAAAATAGGACAAATTATGTTTGTCTTTTGATTCTTTATTCATATAGTCCCAATGAGAACCTTGGGAAACAGTTAAAAGAGTACTAATGCAGTGCTAACCTACTATTTATTAAGTACTGAAGCAATATCCCACGGACCCAGATCCTATGGTACTAGGTAGTAAAATGGAAGGGTCCCTGTCCCAAATTGTTTAAACATCTAATACTATAAGCTGTTAGACCTGTACAACAATTGTTTCTTGGGGTTGTACATTAGAAATGTTAATTACACATATGTATTTTAAATCACTTTTATCTTTTATTCCTTGTTCTAGTTGACCCAGCACTGCAAGCAAAGCTTGCAAATCCTGCTCTTATGAAAATCAAAGTGAGTTGCTCCAAGCGTAACTCCACTCATGCATTAAAGAGCACAACATACTATGGCACTTCTTGGAAAGGTGGACAGAATGGGAAATTCTTACACAGCATGAATGAACATAGATTTTCTGTTCACATCACTAGATATGGAAACATTCAAGGCCAGGTTGGATGGGGCTCTGAGCAATCTGATCTAGTTAGCAGTGTCCCTGCTCACTGCAGGGGGGTTGGACTAGATGACCACTAGTGGTCCCTTCCAACCCTAAACATTCTATGATTCTATGATTCTATGATATGTTCCTGTTTTCCTTCCAAATAATCATGGTTAAGACTCTTCATAGTTCTATGGCAGATTTCATACTTGATGCCAGCTACAAATGAATCAATGCATTTCCTTCTTTTCTCCCAACTTCTTGAGGTCTTAATAGAGGTCCACAGTATGAACTTGTGGCAAAAAACATCACTATTTTTATACCAGAGTGGTGGGGACATGTTTTATCTACTGATGCCCATGGTGGGCCCTGAAATAACTGTGGAAGTGCTGGGAAGACGACTGGCTATTCAAAGTTTCCTCTATTTACCCACCACCTCTTAAGCCTTGCCCTATGACACACTTGCCTGCTGGAGCCATGCCAAATTGCCCTAGTGGAATACGTACATAAACATGGAGAAGTAGCAACTTGATGTTAAAACAAATATCAAAGAATACCATAACATGGGAAAAAAAAATCAGAGAACATATTGCCTCATTATGTAAGATGACTGGGGATTGAGTCTGCTCTCTTACTTGCAATGGCGTCTTCCAATCTCTCTAACAAGACCTGGTGGAATTCCTTCAGAGTGCACACAGACTTACAACCCAGGAGCTAATCAAAGCATTCTCGACTTTAGCTAAATGCAATTTTGTTAAACTCTTGCATAAGTGATTACAGCAAAGCAGCAGAATTCATGTTTATTACCTGAATTGTCTGGTAAACTGAAGGATCAAATCCTTTCACAGTCACCTCCCGGAAAACTCTTGGCTCCAGTTCCTCTTTGGTCAGATCACAGTGATATATAATACCTAAAACAGCATGCAAGTTTGTCAGCTTAGTGGATGTCCATCGTTAAAAGGATGCTGATTTAGGCAGTGTGATGGAGTAAAGAATGGCAAAGGTAGCTCAGGAGGGTGAAAAACAGTAGCTCCAGATACATTATTTCAGTTAATATGTAATTTAATATACATGCATATGCACTTCATCTAGGAAGGGTGCAAAGTTTTTCTGTACAGAAAGAATAATTCTCACTGCCCATACAAAGCCAGGGATCCATTCTGAAAAAAGATTTGTTTTTGTAAAGTTACATAGCACTTATTGAGAACTATAATGTTGGAAGAAAGAAGTAGAAAGTCAATTTTAAAACATCTCTAGAACCACGAGACTGAGAATAAATATATCAAGAACTCAGGTCAACACATTTCTCTTTATGATAAAATATTTTGAAATTACAATTCAGACGGACCCCCAGATAACGGAAAGAACTGAGTACCCACTTGAAATTGTGGCAGACTAGCACAGGTTATCCGTGTAACTGAACAGAATTTGGTCTCATATGATTTATTTTACGTCCTGATCCTGTGGGGTTGAAGGCAACTTCACTTGTTTGAGTTGCACCTATGATTTCCAAAGGATTGTGCACATGACAAAATTTATGTCTATAAGCAGTATAAAGCTTCTAGGTTGCAGCAGAGGCAGAATGACAGAGACTGTAGCAATCTAGACACTACACAGATGTGTAATTGGCCAAGAAGAATTTTGCATTTAGACCATAAATCGCATTTCCTGCCATTCAACCCTAATGACATTTGAGCGTGTGGCTATCACTGTGTTTGCACACTGGCTAACATACTACAAAATCCTAATATTCATGGACATACTACAGATACATATGATACATAAAACTAACCTCAGTGTTAATTATTCTTTGTTTTTCTGCTTTACAACAAGATGGTCTCTGTAGAATTTTAAACGTATATGAGGGAAAAGAACACTAAAAGTTAAGGCAACAAGCCCTCCACAGGAATCCTCAATGTAATAAAATTAACCAAGGTGGACAAGACTTGATTGAAATACTGCTGTATTGTGTATATTTTAGACACCTTCAGGAAATCAGAAGTAATTGTTACAGAGGTTATAGCTATAAAAAATTATATTGAAACATGAAATAATGAGGAAACATATCTGATACAAGGGAATTGCCTCATTAAATCACTTTTATAGACTGTGGAAAATCAAAGATACAGATTGGCAAAGGAACATAGATGAAAACCAACATTTCTAATAACTGATAAAGCCTCTTTCCACAATGGTGAATTAATAGGGGAATAAAAGTAGGACTACTCTAATCTGCTAGGATTTTTTTATTTCATTTGTCACAAAGTAACTAGCAAGCCTAATGCAGGGCGACTGGTGCAAACAAGCATTAAAGCAGCATTTCCCTTAAAGATTAGGATCCAGAAAGTGATGTGAAAGCACGAAGGAAAGCACACCAGGCGGTCACAGGCAGAGCAGTCATCTGACATATACAGCTGCCCAAGCCGGATAATGTATTGGCAAACTTTATATATAGAGCAGGCAGAATAGCTGCATATTTGGAAACCACAGCATGAAGCATAAGCACAGTCACAAACTGCATTTCAGGAGTCAATCAACCTAATATTACCGTAACATGCAATTGAACCCCTGGTACTGCATCTCTTGTTCTGTTGTATTTTTAGCAGCATGGCAGTTAATGTCCAAAACCATAGTAATGTTGGGGCCTGTACTCTTTCACTGGGTGCTAAATAAATGAAAAACACTAGAGTGCTCACTTAAGCATCTGACTGGAGTCAGGGATAGCCATATTTTCCAGGGAAGAGAAAAATTATTTTTATGGTGTCGGTATCTACAGTTTTGGAAGTACTTTATTCATTATTTCATATGTAAATGCTTACTATTACTTTTGTTCTAGGTATTAAACACCAGTATTTTAGTTTCTCATTAGAAAAAAATACAGTGCAACTTAATACAAGTGCAAATTATATTGATTTCTAATAGTAAAGTAGGAAGATCTAGGTTAACCAAGGACCATCCCTATACCTTTTGTCTGGTTATTTTATTCATAGGGTGAATGGAATTTGCGTGTAAATTAAAAAATACCCACACATCTACCTAAAAATTACTTCTCTGGTCTGCTTTCCTCATTCCCACACATTCTACTTCCATTTCCTCCCCTTCCTCTTTCTTCTAGACTCCAGGTCTCTCTGTCCCAGTTCACAGAGCTACGTGATGGTGAATTTTCTGTAGATGCTAAGCACATGGATGAAAAGGAGAAAAAAAATATCTGCCTAAGCAACCAGCAGGCAATGAGAGCAGCCACTGCTGGCTGGCTGGCAAGCCAGGGGCTAAAGTAGATCTCAGGGCTCTTCCCCTCCACATGGTTAGCAGCTACACAGACTCCACTGGCTCAGCTGAGATGAACAGTACAGGCTTAGAAGACTGGCAACTTCTGGCCCACGAGGTGGGATGTGAGCAAGTGAATTATCTGAACCATCAAGTTGGGATGAAGTTAGAGGTAAAAGCAAGAGTGTCCTCAAGCTCCTCCCTGGATGCAATGGCTGCAATGATCTGAACATTTTTTAAAAGTTTGTTTAGAAAAGGAACTGGAAAGATAATATATCTTATTTCTGGTTCTGTAAACAGTAAGATAATACTAGGAAATTCATCACACTTCTTATCTGCTAAGCTTGAAACATAACTTTGATAATTTGACACAATCCTTTCTAGCAAAACCAGCAAACCTACCAAAACTATTATACTATTACACAACCATTTTGCAATGTGGCTGTGCTCTAACTGAAACAGAGCAAAAATATGTGTCAGATGCTATAAGAACATTTTTGATCATCTGATGATTCATGATGACTCACAGCCCTAGAAGAAGAAAAATACTCTGGAGCCTATCTCTCCTCTCCATATTTGAATCCCATCCTGTATCAGCTATCGGCTGAGGTACTTAATGCCTTCTTTGCAGCAGTCTTTAATAGTAAGGTCAGCTGTTTTCTGGGTACCCAGCCCCCTAAGCCAGAAGGCAGGGATGGGGAGCAGAACAAAGCTCCCATGATCCATGAGGAAATGGGTAGTGACCTGCTCGGCCAACTAGACACACACAAGTCCATGGGGCTGGACAGGATCCATCCAAGGGTACTGAGGGAGCTGGCAGAGGTGCGCACCAAGCCCCTTTCCATCATCTTTCAGCAGTCTTGGATGACTGGGGAAGCTCCACTTGACTGGAGATTGGCAAATGTTATGCCCATCTATAAGAAGGGGTGGAGGGAGGATCTGGGGAACTATAGGCCTCCCAGTCTGACCTCAGTGCCGGGGAAGGTCATGGAGCAGATCATCTTGAGTGCCATCACACAGCACATCCAGGACAACCAGATCAGGCCCAGTCAATGTGGGTTTATGAAAGACAGGTCCTGCTTGACAAACCTGATCTCCTTCTTCTATGACAAGATGACCCACTTAGTGTATGAAGGACAGGCTGTGGATGTTGTGTACCTGGACTTTAGTAAAGGCTTTGACACAGTTTCCCACAACACTCCCCTGGAGAAACTGGCTGCCTGTGGCCTGGATGGGCATACGCTTTGCTGGGTAAAAAAATGGCTGGATGGCTGGGCCCAAAGGGTAGCAGTAAATGGAGTTAAATCCAGTTGGCGGCCGATCACAAGTGGTGTTCCCCCAGGGTTTGGTATTGGGCCAGTTCTGTTTACTATCTTTACCAATGATCTGGATGAGGGGATCAAGTGCACCCTCAGCAAGTTTGTAGATGACACTAAGCTGGGTGGAAGTGTTGATCTGCTTGAGGGTAGGAAAGCTCTGCAGAGGGCCCTGGACAGGCTGGATCGATGGGCCGAGGCCAAATGTATGAGGTTCAACAAGGCCAAGTGCCAGGTCCTGCACTTGGGTCAAAACAACCCCATGCAATGCTACAGGCTTGGGGGTGAGTCGCTGGAAAGCTGCTTGACAGAGAGGGATCTGGGGGTACTGGTTGACAGCCAGCAGTGTGCCCAGGTGGCCAAGAAGGCCAACTGCATCCTGGCTGGTTTGTATCAGGAATAGGTTGGCCAGAAGGAGTAGGGAAGTGATTGTGCCCCTGTACTCGGTGCTGGTGAGGCCGCACCTTGAGTATTGTGTTCAGTTTCGGGCCCCTCACTACGCGAAGGACACTGAGGTGTTGGAGCGTGTCCAGAGAAGGGCAACAAAGCTGTTGAGGGGTCTGGAGCACAAGTCTTATGAGGAGCGGCTGAGGGAACTGGGATTGTTCAGCCTGGAGAAGAAGAGGCTGAGAGGAGACCTTATCGCCCTCTACAACTGCCTGACAGGAGGGGGTAGCCCGGTGGGTGTTGGTCTCTTTTCCCAAGTAACAAGCGATAGGACAAGGGGAAATGGCCTAAAGTTGCACCAGGGGAGGTTTGGATTGGATATTAGGAAAAAATTCTTTCACCGAAAGGGTTGTTAAGCATTGGAACAGGCTGCCCAGGGAAGTGGTCGACTCACCATCCCTGGAGGTATTTAAAAGATGGGTAGATGAGGTGCTTACAGACATGGTTTATTAGTGGACAAGTATGGCTCAATGACCTTAAAGGTCTTTTCCAACCAAATGATTCTATGATTGATTGTTTGGGCCATAAAGAAATAAGAGGGGGAAAAAAAAGAACAGCAAATACATTTTCTTGTCATATACTAGCTTGAAAATCGCATAGAAACTCCCTTCCTATTCAAAAATCCTGGAACACTTATCGGTGTGTCACACACATATTACGTAACGCTTTGGACAGCTCTGGCTTTGCAAGATTGTACAAAGAGGATTCCTACAGCAATTTAACAACACCAAGAGTTGTAAGGACAGATAGAAAGGATGCTCTAATGAGGAGATGCATAAAAGAATCAAAAAGCTGTCAGAGGAAGAATTTTTGTGACTTTTATTAATGTTCTTCAAAATTGTGATGAAAATCACATTAAATACATTAACAAGTATCTTCAACAGAATTTGTAAACTTCTATCTTGCTGTATGAAGCAAGAGCTGTGAGAACGCTACAATTTAATCTCTAGTACAAGCCAGTCTTGAGTAATTTCTCAATGCAGGTGTCTCAAACATTAGTAGGCATATTATTCAGGCTTCATGGATCAAAGACTGGCATACTTCGAAGTGCAGAACCACTACTTACTACATGGGGGGAAGCAGTTCTATCTGCATCTTAGACATACCTAATAACTACTAAAAACCAGAAAACAAGCAAGATATTGTTCCCAGGGAAAAGGAACAATAACTAAGGGAAAAAACAATCTTACCTGGAGATAAAAAGGAAGTAAACTGATAGAATATTTCGGTGTCCTTCTTTTGGCCACTATATCCCACAATACTGCCAACATCTAGGGGGAAAGTCTTGAGATGTGCACCAGTAGCTAGGTCATGAAGTTGCAGAATATTCTTCACGTCATGCAGATAGCACAAAACCAAGAAGTTGGACCTCACACAAGCAACCCATTCTGCAGAGCATGGAAAAGAAAAAAAAAAGCCACAGAAAATACAGTTAAAAAAAAAAGCTGTAAGAAAGAAAACAATCATACATAATCCAATTCTAAAATTCTTTAGCATACCTAAATACATGCACCAAAATTTCCGACATGCATTGAATTTAACTCTAATCTTTAGAAGTCACCTGACATCTGAAACAAAAAAAATGAACCCAAAAGTAAAGGCTGACATTCTTTGGAAGCGCACTAACCTTGTCACTTGAAGCTAATTTATGCAGACACAGGAATAAAGAATTGCTTAACCAAGACGCTTATGCATTTGGGGTGCTTATAGATCAATACATCTCTTAAGTATCACATATTTCAATGCAAAACCCAAGCAAAACATTGATCTTTGCCAGCAATACTTATGGAAATGCATGAAAATCAAAGCAATCATTATGATTTAGACTCAAGCTAAACTAGTAAGAAAAGACGTGATCCTGTATTGCACATTAAAATACAGAACCGAGAGGTTACTGTTCATCTTGGTTTTATTGCCCAAGTATTCAGGAGGCTATTCCAGTAAGCAAGCTCTACCGGGTGTAAGAAAAGGGCTATTCTGTGGTAATATCCTCAACACACCATTTTCAGAAAAACCACATTTATTCAAGAAGCTAGCATTGTTAAACAGCATTCTTGAGACTCTGAAGTAGTACAGCACAGTGCACTCAATCTGGCAAAAGGACCCTGGAACAAAGTGCTCTGCAGAGGTTCATTTGCTTTATGCCTCTCCTGACAGTCCTGGACCCCTGCAGAGCTGCCCACCTCAGCTGTGCTGCTGTCCAGGAATGCAAGCTTCTGCTTCAA